CTAAACTGATCTTTTTCTGTCGTGCTGTTTTAAGTGATCGTATTTTATATTGCCGAGTTGTTATATTTGTTGGACGCGCCTGGCAGAAGGAGCCCGTTAAGAGAGGCTCCTAGATGACCTAATAATTTTTTTTACATGGACCTGTTGTGTCGCTTTGTTATTAATTATAACGCCTTGTTAGCGGATATTCTTGTGGAAGTCACTCTAGTGTTATCTCTTGCCTCTTCTACCTGCCTTGTATATTTTTGTGTCGTTTGTTCCGTTGTCCGTTAAGTGCTTTTTTATAATATATGCTACTCGTGTGATTCTTTTGTGTTCTGTAAGATTCCCATACAGTATTTGTTTTTTTTTCGTTTTTGTGTGCATAATCAGTCATATTTTTTTTTTGTTGTGACAATTCTTATACTGTTACTGTCAGAATGTTGTCGGATTATATTTTATAATTTTATATAATTTCTATTTATTTTCCATGGTCTTGGATTTTACTTATTTTGAGGAGTATTTTGATTATTTTTTTTTTGTATCTTTATTTTTTTTTTTTTCTTTGTGTTCTTGTTGTTGTTTTTCTGTTGTGACGGAGCATAGGCCCTTATCTTACCTTCCGCAAAATGTGATATCAGAGGTTCTATGAAACTTCCTATCTTCTCAGCCCCCTTTGGTGCTTTAACACTTTTTTCCTTCTATTCCTCTCCCTTTCCCTTGCAATCCTTCTCCTCTCCCCGCTTCCCCCTCATCTCTGTGGCGCTTCCCCCGTCCCAACAATCCTTTCTCTTCCCGCCTCATCGCCCCTCAATCCTTCTCAAATCTCCCTTCCTCCTCAATCCTCCTGTCTCTCAATTCCCCTCTCCCCTCCCTCGCCCTGGACCCATCCCCTACCCTCCCTTGACATCAGCCTTAAAATCCGCCAATTCCCCTCAGCCACCTTGAATCCGTACATGGTCATCTATGGGTTTGGTGTCTGTGATACCGGCGGTGAGCAGTGGTGCGGTCATTCCAGGCCGAAAGTACGTCCCCACGCACTGTAATACCCACACTCTCCCTATGGTACCTTCAATCCTCTATATATCCCTATCCACTTCGCCCCTTCTCCTTTCCCCATTCCTCCTTAATCCCCATCTTCTTGCCCAATCTCTAACCTTTTCCCTTCCCTCCTTCCCCCAATTCCTCTTTCGCCCTTTCCTCCTCTTCCCCTAATCTCTTCCTCCGTCTTCCCCTTCCTCCTTCCCGAGATTCCTCTTCTCCTAATTTTCCCCTTCCTCCATTCCCCAATTCCTCTTCGCCCTTCCTCCTTCCCCAATTCCTCTTCTTCCATCCCCCTTCCTCCTTCCCCAATTCCTTCGCCCTTCCTCCTTCCCCAATTCCTCTTCTCCTTTTCCCCTTCCTCCTTCCCCAATTCCTCTTCGCCCTTCCTCCTTCCCCAATTCCTCTTCTCCTATCCCCTTCCCCTTCCCAATTCCTCTTTATTCTTCTTCTCTCTCTCCCTCTTTCCTCTACCCACTTGCCGGAGGAGGGGAAAAGGTGGATATTTTCAAGTGTATGTATTTTGCTTATATGCTGTGCTTTTTTTCTCTTTTTCTTCGAAGGTTTTTGAAATGCGGCGAAGTTTGAGAAAAGGGAGGGATGTGGTTTCAAAAGGACGCACTTTTCTGGAAGATTTTGGATGGAAGAGCACGTGGCATATCTTTGTGTGTGTTTGTTTGTTTGTTTAATGTCTACGGTCTTTCACTGTGTTGGGGGTGCATTGGTGTACTGTGTATGTGATGAAAAGATTTGTCGACCCCCCCCCCCCCCCCCCATGATTACCCAAAAGCAGCTGGCGCCCGAACCCCTGCGCCTGTTAACGTGAGCGAGATTGAATCCTGCTGGGAATGTTCTAGGAATCCAGCGCGGTCGGGGTGGTTCTCTAGCCTGGTCTTTCTTTAATCATCTCTTCTCTCTCTGTCTCTCTCTCTCTCTCTCTCTCTTCTCTCTCTCTTCTCTCTTCTCTCCTCTCTCTCTCTCTCTCTCTCTCTCTTCTCTCTTTCTCTCTCTCTCTCCTTTCTTTTCCCTCTCTCTTTTCCCCACTCTTTCTCTCTTTCTCTCTCTTCTCTCTCTCTCTCTCTCTTTTCTCGTTCTCTCTTTTCCTCTTTCTCTTTCTCTTCTCTCCACTCTTTCTCTCTCTCTCTCTCTCTCCTTACCTCCCTTTATCCCCTTCTCTCCTCTCTCTCCCCTCCGTCCTCCTCCCTCTCTCTTTCCCTCTTTTCTCTTCTCCTCTCTCGTGTCACGCCGCGGAGCCATCAGCCCTCCTCAAGCGTCGAAGATTCTGGACGGCCAGCGAATCCTCTCCAGCCAGGGGAATATTCTGGAAACAAGCGTCTTGGTTCGAGAAGGCGATGGTTCGCCGTCTTCCCCCTCGTGGAATCGCGAGAAGGCTTTAAGGGAGCTGTTTTTTCTTTTCTTTTTTTTTTCTCTCTCTCTCTAGAAGTATTTCCTGAAAGCATGCAGGAACTCTTGTATTCCCCCCCTCACTCCCTCTTCTTCCTCCTACCGTTATTCCTCTTCACCTCGTCCCACCGGTTTCCCTCTACCTTTCCCTCTCCCCCTGTCTCCTCCCCTCTCCACTTTCCCTCTCCTCTCTTCTATCTCTTTCCCTCTCTCCCCACTGTTCCTCCACTCCGTCCCCCTCTGTACACTCCCCCCAGATCCCGTTCAGAGAATGTTTCTAGAACGTGCAGGAGAACAGCATGAGGCGTTCCGGGAAAATGGCGCGTTTATGCTTCTTTGCGGGAGGAGGGAGGGAGGGAGGGAGGGAGCGGAGCGAGGGAAGGAAAGGAAGGGAGAGAGAGGGAGGGAGGGAGCGAGGGCAGGAAGGGAGGGAGAAGAGAGAGGTGGGAAGGAGGGGAGGGATGGAAGAGAGGAAGAGAAAAGAGAGAAGGGGGAGTGAGGCAAGAGAGCAGGGGAGTGAGGAAGAGAGAAAGGGGGAGTGAGGAAGAAGAGAAGGGGAAGTGAGGAAGAGAGAGGGGGAGTGAGGAAGAGAGAAGGGGGAGTGAGGTAAGAGAAGAAGGGGGCGTGAGGAAGAGAGATAGGGGGAGTGAGGAAGAAGAGAAGGGGGAGTGAGGAACGACGAGAGGGGTATCAGTGAGGAAGAGAGCAAGGGGTAAAGTGAGGAAGAGAGAAGGGGTAGTGAGGAAGAGAAGAAGGGGTAAGTGGAGGAAGCAGAGAAGGGGTAAGGTGAGGAAGAGAGAAGGGGGAGGGTAGGAAGAGAGAAGGGGGAGGTAGGAAGAAGAGAAGGGGGAGGGAGAAAGAGAGAAAATGGCAAGGCGGAGGAAGATGGTGAAGAGAGAGAGAAGGAGGGGAGGAGGGGAAGGGAGGAAGAGAGAGAGAAGGGAGGAAAGGAAGGGACTGGGGAAGAGATAGAGAGTAAAGGACAGAGACACAAGACAGACGGCAGGCAGCCACAAACACCAGAAGAGAGAGAGAGAGGGAGAGTAAGGAGAGGAGGAAACCGCGAAGGAGGGGAAAGGATTGGCCGCCATTGTGACGGTTGAATACTTAAGGAGATCTTCGGGGGCCAGCGAGAGACGGCAGCTGGGACGGAGCCGAGGGGAGGAGAGGGAGAGGGAAGAAAGAAGGGAAAGAGACGGGGAAGGGGAGGGGATGGCAGGAGGTAGGAAGAGGGAAAGGGGAAGGGGGAGGGGAGGGGAGTGGATGGAAGGAGAGAGGAAGGGGAAGGGAATGGGGAAAGGAAAGAGACGGGCGGATGGATGAGGAGGGAAGTAAGAAAAGAGAAGAGGAGGAGGAAGGAGTTGGAAGAAAGGGAATAAGGAAGGTAGTTAAGGAAGGAAGAATGAATGAAGGAAATGGCAAAGGGTGGAGGAGGAGAAGGAAGAAGAGAGAAGGGAATGAAGGAAGAGTAGAGAGAATTTAGAAAAAAGGGAAAGCTGAAGGAAGTAAATAATGTTAAGAAAAAAACAAGGAATGAAAGGAAGGAAATAGAAGATAGAAAGAGGAAAGAAAAGAAAAGAGAGTGAACTCCGGCGAGAGTGAAAGGGACGGCAGGAAAGAGGCGTTGCTGTAGACCGGGCGACGTCAGCGATTGGCTGTCACGCTCTGGATCGCTGACGAAATTGCGGTCATCAGCACAAGATCTCTTGATGAGGGAGAAAGATAACGAGTTGTCATGGCGTGCGCCGGGGACGGCTCGCGCGTTTGGGCGGGGGATGG